CACCCCCCGTAATTGGGGTTCGGGGGGTAGCCCCATTGGGGTTGGGATTGGGGGGGGTAGAATTGCTGCTGGGGATGGAACTGCTGCTGGGGATAGAATTTCGGTGGGTAGTATGGTTGACCGGGTTGCTGAGGAATGTAGGTGTTTGCGTTGGGGTTGAAATGACCTGTAGGACTATTGGGATTCATTTTTTTTTTCTCCTGGATACCCAATTGATGCTAATTTGAACTCTGTGATTTCGTTTCTCTATGCTTTCTTTGGGGAACAACAACAAAACTGAATGAACACGACCTGCTTTTATAAACTGAACAGTCATGTAGATTCAGGTGGAAATCATGAAAAAAAAGGGTATGTCATAAAGAAAAAGAACCGATAACCGCCAGAGGCCTCTACACAAATGCAAATCAACAGGAAGATCAGCCGTGACATTCGGACACGCGATACTAATTAGTGAAAAGTGGATCATTTGAACCCAGCAATTCTCAATTACAAACCTATATCAAGCCGAGTTGTTTTTCTCCTACCCTTATTTTTATGTACGATCGTTGTTTTCAATATATAGTTGAAATAGAACCGAACACATGATTATTTTTCCTTTATTTGGGTCATCCTCCTAAGATTAATAAAACTCACATCAGGCTCCTCAACAATATATTAGCATCCAATAAATAAACATATAAAAACTCACATCTATAAGGGTTGTTTGTTAGCCTAAAAATAAAAGGTTTTACAAGAAGACAAAACCCTTTGGTTATTGTATGCCAATAATAATAATAACATAAATCTAACTTGTACTCCATTGATCCTTTCAGGTCTACCATTGTTTTTCTCCTGTATCGCCTTCATAATTTGTTTTTTTTCTGCTCTCTACTCCCTATTGATTTTAGAACCATCCACATATATTCCCATAAATGTGTGTGCACGCACATTTTTTACTATTTTTCATTCCTTTTCCAGATCTCCACTCACGTTTGTCTGATTTTAAGGGAAGGAGGAAAGTACTAGTTTCCAAAAAAAAAATCTAACATGTAGCATAAAAGATAGGTACACCTGTGCTATAGGAGTTCATCTATTATGCATTTTTCCATCATCTTTTGCTGTAGATTCAATTTCCTACAAAAAGCGTAGGTTAAAAAAGGGTTGAATGAGTTTAAAGTAGGAGTCTGATATTTCACGCCAAAGGATAGATGCTTTGTGTGTGCCCGCCAACTCAACGTAATTTAACAGCTTTTGTACCAAGTCATCAGAAAGTAAGTTTGCCTGGAGTTGACTGAATAATTGCATAGCCGCGTGGTCAATAGAAGCGCGCCGCCGTGGGTCCGCGATATGGGGAATCTGCTTCTGCAGGTGTCCAACAAGTTTTTGATGTGTAGGATTCATAAGTACACCGACATTTATCTCCAAAATCGATCCAGCAGAAGCATTTGTGATTGTTGTGGTAGGCAGAGGCAGGGATGCAGAGGGTCTTGAATGCTGCTGTGGGTAGGGCGGGAGTGAACCTGGACCCGGTGGTGGAGCAGATACTCGTTCCCCGGATGAGGTGGCCTGGATAAAAGGTGCTTGAGGCCTGGTGTTGAGGAAAGTACTCGAGCCACCTGCCGGTGGCATCGTGTGAGATGATGCTTGCGAAGAGGGTGCGGCCATCATAGCTGTATGGGGCTTACCCGCGTTGTAAGGCATCCCCTGAGGGGGAAGTGGGGGCGGCATGCCCGGTGGTGCGGCCGAGGGCCCCCCCCGACCGAGCGGAAACCCTGGGGAGGGCTCAGCGACGCTCATTACGAGACCAGAGCCACTGCTATTGAGGTGCCGCAAGGGGGGGTAGGCGTTACTCGTCGGCTGGGGCGCGCCGTGCGGCTGCGGGGGGGGCAGGAAGGGCGACGTGGTTTGTGGCACAGAGGACGGTGCCGCGGCAGGCCAAGCCCCGGGGATCGGGGCCTGGGACAATGGCTGTTGTTCTTGTTGCAGTTGCTGATGATGCTGTTGCTGATGCTGATGATGCTGTTGGTGCTGTTGAACCTGTTGCGGTGGTTGTAACGGAGGAGGGGGAGGGGCCGACGGGTTGGGGTTCGTCCATTGTCCTGTGTACTGCGGCCCAGGTACTGTTGCAGCCGCCATTGGCAACTGAGGCCGCTGTTGCTGAGAAGGGGGCTCAAAGGCCTGGGGCCTAGGCCCAGGAGTGTTGACAGGCCTTTGGGACTGCTGTTGCTGTTGTTGCTGAGAAGCTGCCAGGCTGTTCCCCTGTAAAGAGGCGAAGTACTGCCGACACGCCTCGGTGGGCTGATCGGGAATGGGTTCTAAATGGTACGGTACACTCTTGTCGGATTGCTGCAGAGGAATCAGATACTTCAGACGGTCCACAAGGAGAGCGGCGTTTTCGTTCCCAATGTTTGTCGCCCGCTGCAGGTACTCGGCGGCTTCGTTGACCTGCCCGTCCTTTATTAACGCCACACCGCGGTGGAAGAGACACTCTGCAAAGTACGGAGAGAGTGCACCGCGTTGCGTCGTTTCCTCAAGCAGAATTGTATTTTGAACGACTTGGGATGGCGGTATGCCCTGAAGCCGCCATAGCTCGATGATCGCATCAACGTTGCGGCCGCACACATAGCACGCATAGGCACCCTCGTAGTTTGTATTTTTCTTTAACACATCCCCGAGGCGGTTGCAGGCGTCGGCGAAACCCTCACCAATGTAGGCAATAATAGTGGATAGTGCTTCCTGCCATGACATCTCGATGTTGCCGCTCAGCAGGGAACTGAAATCGCCTGAAGCGACGGCGCCGGCCAGAAGGACGTGTCGCCGCGCCGTCTGTTGCGCTATAGTGTACTTGACGTAACTCTGGTGAACTTTCGCGATGAGGCTACCTCCACGCAAAAAGGCAAGGGTGAAGGCGTCCGCGTAGTGGCCATTTTCTATACAGACATCGACCGCTTCTTCTATTTGACCCATCGCCACATGCTCAGAGGCGCGATCCTCGTAGCTCTTCTGATTTTCCTGCGTGATTTGCGCGAATGGGTCGTCCTCGTCGTGTGAATTAGGGTTTCGCTTTAAGTTGTTGTCCTTCTTCGCGGCCTGGCTGAGATATTCAAGGATGGGTTGTCGATCTGTGATGGACTTCGAGACGGCAGCGAGGAGGTGGTGGTGGTGCTGTTGAAGCCACTTTACCCGCTCAGGGCTGCCTGGAGGGCACTGCGCGAGCTCCTGTTTCTCTTTTTGGTTGGTGGAGGCGGCAAATGAGCGGTTTCGCACGTGCGTCACGCACAGCGAGTTTGTCGTCCGCGGGGCGAGGGATACCACATCCAGGGCAAGATTGATCGAGGCCCCACAGGGACGCAGCATCCACTTCGGCGGGACGGCCACCGAGCCGTCGGCAGGCCCCTTAAAGGCCGACATATCCTGCGCCGTGGAGACGCAAAGAAGGGGTTCAAAAGAGGAGGTCGCGAGCACCTGGGGCAGCACCGGACACCACTTCACGTCGATCATGTAATTAGTCTCCGGTGTGAGCTGTCCGAGTTTCTGCCCACTCCCTGTATCCCACCATATCGTCAGCCCATCACAGCCGCAGGAGGTGAGCATCGATGTGTCTTGCGCATTCCACGAAATCCCTGAGATTTTGCTGGTGTGGCCCACCATCTCGTGAATTGGCGCCACGGACCTCTTCAGTTCCCACATCTGCACCACAGGGTGGTTCTCGTCAAGGCCGACGGCGAGCTGCGTGGCCGCGGTCGGATTCCACGCGATGCAAGTCACCCCCGCCCCGCGCGAGACCTTTGACACATTCAACGAGGTCACAAGCGAAACATTCTTCAGGTTCCACACATTGACCTGCCCGCTCGCGGAGGCGGTAGCGATGATGTGGGCATACCTCGGATGCCATTGGATATCCACCACGGACGTGCTGTGCGCGGCATTTTTGATCACTTGCACATTCTTCGGGGCAGTGAGGCCCCCACCTGCCCCGGAGGCCGCGTCCGGGCAGCACCACAACAACCATTGCCCGCTGTCATCCCCGGTTGCCAAAAACTGCGGCTCAGACATGTTGAACTGGCAGCAGCGGACCGGGCTGTGGTGCTCGTGGATGGTCCACAGCAACCCTGGCGAGGGGGCTCGGGATTGGCCCTGCAATTGTGGTTCATTCCGCTTCGCCCCGGAGCGCAAAATCGCGGCGGCGGAGTAGATATAAACCTTGTTATTGCTGCAGCTCACGGCGATGATGCCCTGCTCGCCGGTGTGCGGGGACCAGTCGAGCTTGTAGGCCATACCGGAGAGGGCCACAGAGCCGATCACGGGCATTTCGGTCTCGTCGGTCTGGGTGACGTCCACAAGACGGATCTCAAGATAGGCTTCATTGTCGAAATCGTCGTTCATCGAGCCGATATACGACGCGGTGGCGATCATGGCATGTGTCTCCAGCTTCGCCGGCGACCACGCAAAAGCGCAGCATACGTTATTGCTCTTTAAGCGCATGATACTACAGAAAACCAAAAGTGTAGCAATCAATAATAAAAAAGTAAAACACAATTTTTTTCGCGAAAGAGAAGTGTCTCGTGCACACCTTTTTCACTTTTTCAGGCTCACAATACTATGTTTCTTGGCACCGCTCTCGAAGATACCAGCCCAAGCTTACACGATGACACCAACCCACACGGTAGTTCGATTTGGATAGCCTACGAGTATCAAATGAGGTGAAAAATAAGTATTTTAATAATACACGTAAACGATAGAATATAAACAAAGAAGATAAAATGTGTGTTAATACTGAAAAAAAATGAGAAGGAAGAAGGAGAATTAGAGAATCATAACAACATTGAATCAGAAATATTGCATAAAAAACAAGAATAGAGGAAACGGATTACGTATTCCATACCTGCTTGGTCTGTTATTGCTTAATAATTAAAAACTAAAGAGATATTTCTCTTAAATGAAAATTGAAAGTGCATCGTTTATATACCTCTATTGTATCGAAAACGCTCTTTTCGAGATTTTCAATGAGACATCGGTCCCGCGCACTCCG